AAACGTCAAGGAAAAAAAGAACGGGGGGGGGAAAGAGAATTTGGAAACAAAGAAAACCCGCATCCATTACTTCGCTTCCCCCCCCCCCCCCCCGCCCCCCACATGACAACATTCATACGAACTGGCAATATGATTGCAGTGTATAAAAGTGAATGTATCTAAATAGAGAGCATAAAGTGATTTAATAGATTTCAATATCTTAAGATTATTGATTGGATAAAAATGTTTCCGCAAATATAATGTATTACAAAAAAGATATTTCTAAAACTAGAAATGCTTAAAAATTTACAGCATTTTGAACTATAAGTAGAACAGATAGTTACATAAAAACAAAACAGATTTACGAATTTCTACATAGATTAAAAATAGAAAGTGATCATTCGTCATACATAGAGCACATAGTGACCTATGCCTCTCTACCCCAACTTGCATTATTAAATTATTTTACCAACTAATGTATAAGGATGGTAATGCCTTTTATATTTTGTAAACCATGCTTGATTAGATATGTATTGACTAGAACTTAAATGCATCGTAGTAGTGGCGTAATTAAAAGAGAGATAGAGAAAGCTCAGTCTCCTGTCCACAAACAGTTTGAATCTTTTCTAGAAGCATGACGTTGAAATTTGTTTTCGTTACGCCACTTACCTTGAATTTATGAGTGTTATTTTTTCTTAGAATACAAATCAATTGATATATGTACGTTTTTGTGTTTATTATTTCTTTCAATTCTTATGTAATAAAAGAAAAACAATATTTTTAGCAATTATTTCTTAATGATATCACACATGATAGAAATTTCTTTTATAAATGAAATAAAAAAATAAAGATAGGCACACCACTTCTAATCAATTGAAAAATCAATTCATTTACCAAGGTCGACATGGAGCATCTTCATCACGACAATACTGCCAATATGATTCAAATCGACCTGTTGCTGGTTCCATCAAAGATGTATATACTGTTTCCTAAGAAAAAATGAATACTATGAGAATTAAATCAATAATACACAAGAATATTTTACTTTATTAAGCATAGGTCGTGAAGAAAGTACATTAAATAAAGACTCAAATGTAACTTGATTTTTGCCTTTTGCTTGCATACATTTAATACATGGTGTTAAACGATCATCGAAGATTGGTTGTTTTTTCCAATTATCATAATTAGTTTGAGCTATAAACCATAGATTATCTCTGCCCAATGGTTTGATATCATCGGGTCCATTTCGTGATCGAGTTATAATGACACCCTTTCATAGAAAAAGAAAAACATAATATTAATTTATTTTTAAAGTGTAATATATGCTCTCACTTGTCCAGCTTTTGGTCCAGCAACAATATAATAGCATGGAGCTAATAGCGAAACTTCAGCTAAATATTTAACGGTTTGATCATAACTTTCAGATTTTGTGAGCATATCACGAATAGCGAGTGTAATAAATGATTGATTACGATTAATATTAAAGATCCATTCAATTAAGCCAATGTAACCACCTTTAAGACTATTACGTTCATTGATTGAAATACTAAATACACCTGGTTTAATACCAGTCAATGATCCGATGTAACTAAATGAAAAAGTAAAAAGATTTAAAAAAAACATATGACTTTATACCCAAGAAATGTTGTCGTTTTGAAGAGAACTTGACCATTTTGTGTATAATTGATTTGAACCATTAATGGACGTAATTTTTCTGTTAGTGTCCAAGTATGATTTATCTTATCCCAGCTAGAACATAGATTTATATAGTAGAATATATAATTCAAGTTTTCCTAATGTATCTTCGTCCTACTGCAATTAGAAATCACAACTATTATGACTTCCATTTAGAGCCCATCGAATTGGTCGTGAACCCGATGGACTCTACTTCCAAGAAGTTCTTCGCAGTATTTGATTTTCACTAACTGCTCAGCACTCAAACATGAGAATATGGATTTAAGAGAATTTCAAATAATATCAGTTGAATTCTACAAAATTTTCGTTTCGATCATATCAGATCTGATTAGTATCATGAATGTGAGGTCATACAATAATGTTTACTTTTGAAAAACAATTTACGGACAAAGTTCTGTCTAATCTTCAGCACTGTATTTATAGATTTTTGATAATTCTGAACATTTTCTTTTTCTTTTACCCCATAGCTCCTCCAAAGTCAAGATTTCGTCCATGTAAGATATTGCCATATTGATCTTGTCCCACAACAGATGTACACAACGATGAAATTTCATAAAAAATATTGTATAAAACAATTTCACCTAAATAAAAAGAAATGAGTAATCTATTTCATTTAAAATGATAAATTATTTAAAAAAATTTCTCCATAATGTTTATTTTATTCAATTTACCCAATGGTAATCCAGATGCTTGACTAATGCCTTTCATTTCATCACCATATGGTGTTGGTAATGTATCAGCCATGGCCGGCTATTGTGATAGAAATGGTAAACAGAAAAATGAATTTAAAAATGATCATTAAAGACTTACCAGTTTAGTATCAATAAGATTGATCAAAAATTGAAGTTCTGGTGAAATTTCGATAATAAATGTTTTCAAATAGGCAATTAAATCACTAAGCTAAACAACATTCATAATTATCGAAACGAAAATTGATCTTACTTCATTTTTATAAGTAACTATAACATCTTTCCAACGTTCGATAGGTGGTACATCTAAATTTACAATATATGTTGGTAAAACTCTATCAGGTTTTGGTGGCCATTGATCATTCAAACATTGTTCACCGATCTTAATTAAAATTATATCTTAAATTGATAATAATCATCAATTGAATTATACATACGATCCCTTGAATTAAATAGGTAACAAAGAAAAATGAGATCACGTAATAGATCTTCATTTTTTGTTGAAAGACAAATAAAATAATAACTAAGTGTTACACACCTGCAAACTTATCCAAAATATAAGATAAGATAAGAGTAAAAACATGTGCACATCAAAACAAATAATAAAGTTCAGAAGAAAAGATAACATAATTTGATAGCATTCCAGGCGAGCAAAAAATGACAGAGGACACCCAACATGACTAGTATCGAATGTCTGCACTACCGTCTGGACAAATCTGAGATGATCTGAGATTCATCAGGATTAGTAATCTTGGTGGAGTATGTCGCGTAACTAATTATAGACTGGTCAAGACTGTGTCCACCATCTGTCATGACTATAATAGTTCATTTTATTCATTCATACTGTCCAGGCTCGTCAGTAAAACAGAAAGTCAAGAAAGATAGATGACGACAGGTGGATTCGAACATTGAATTCCATAATATTGAATGCCTGACTGGTCTGAACTCTTTCCAAAAGTGATATGAATTAGTGTGAACCGTCATCTTTATCGTTCATGACTAGTTCGTTTTGAGGAGCCAGTGCTAACCTTAGTCCAGAATAGTCAAAATTCTTCAAACAGTTCTCATTTTACTTTGATCTTACTTTCAGACAACTTTTTTAAAGTGATTCATAGCGAAACTAGAAGATTGTGTAATATTGTGCAGGAATCTTTTAAGGATTTGAATTATTTCTTATAATATCTAATTCGGAATTAGATGTTTTCATAATATAAAACATATAGTAAAATATTAATCATCTTGTTTTCATTTTCAATAGAAAGAGCTTCTTAAAACGAACAGTTACAATAAGAGTTGATTGAATATTTTGATGATATGCAAGTTAACAATTTTTACGAATTCATATAAAAAAGGGTGTGGGTGTGGGTGTGGGTGGGTGTATAACAGTTGCATCGACATCCACACTTGCACCCACATATATATTGTTACTTGACCGGACCCAACCCAACCTCCTGCACTTTAGGTGTAGCCAATTTTGAATTTCCTGGAAAGCGGAACTTACAATGCCCTCTTTACATCGACATAGGTTATCTCTTCTTCAGTCAATATTTCTCATTATGCTTGATATGAATAATATTCATGGAACGAAACCTACCAGTCGATATCTATTTTCCTGCTTGAAATATATAAAAGTTAATCAAATAGCTTGAAGTCTGATATCAATATTAAAGTAAACGTTAGACTAGCTTTAAAGATGATTACATCATATATTGAGAATTTTTTTTAATCTCAAAGTGAAGAAATAATTTTCTTTTAACTTTCTTTCTTGATGTTTTAATATTGCGAAACTTTCTGCAACAGTATGGGGTGTGGGGTGGATGTGAGTATTGGTCATTAAATAGGATCATACCCACACCCACACCCTTGGTACTTTACGTGTCTAAACATAATAAAAAAAAATTATTTTTTTTGTTCGTCTTATGTTTCATTGAACGAAGAATAAACTCAATTGTTTTCAAATAAATAAAAAAAACATGAGAAACTTCGATGAACAGATTTGACATATCTTGAGTACAGTAAAGATATGCTTTCTTTCTTGTTTTTTGGTTCATTTTAAAACGTTTCAAAGTTAAAGTCGAGAAAGAAAAAAATATTTGGTTTGAAAATGAAATATTAATATTAAAACAAAAACACCTGTTGAGCAACATCAGCTGCTGGTTTCCATTCCAATAAACGTTTGGCAAAGCTTGTTCTAGTTTTATAATTTTTTAATTTAAATGCTTGATTAAGTACAGATTTTAATGTCATGATTTTATGTATTGGTTGTAATTCTAAATGAGTAAAATAAGCAACTAATTCATATCAACATTTTTCATCATCTTTCGCTAAATCTTCGTTTTTGCCATCGATATTTGTAAACCAACGATGTATATTCTTTACATATTTCAATTTATTGTTAATCTTGAAATTTTTCATTTTTTGCTAAACGATGTTCGATTTGAAGACGTTCACCGAATTCTTCTAATTTTAATCCAACTGCTGGATAAAATAGTTTTGGTAAATGTGCTTCACGCCTTAATAATTAAAATAAAAATTTTAAAATATTTATTAAATAAACAAATAAATGCAAACCAATCGCTTACTGAATATACATATAATGATGGAAATGCTGTAAAAGCTGTATATGAGCGTGAATATATTTGAATAAAGACAAACAAGATCAGGAGCGATTCAAGTATTATGTAATCAAGTTTAAGGCTGGAGGTGGTTTGCAAAAGTTGACATTTGATTACTATGGGGAGGGGAGGGGTCAACCAAAGGTTGCGTAATCTTTAGAAATTTTTGTATTCTGTCATGATAAATTACGATATCATGTTATTGTTCAAGTAAATCAACCGAATAAATACTTAGTCTCTACTTGGTGAATTCTTTAGTGGAAGTTTGAAGTGAACCACCGATCCGTTCATATCTAGTTATTTGTCGACGTACTGAATCTATTGTTAACGAAGATTTATCTTCATTACCCAGGACGAAGAATCCGACAGTTGGATCCTGTCGGATCCGATCGGATTCCCTGGAGATTTCGAGAACTTCCGACGCGGAATCCGACAACTTCCGATAGGATTCTATCGGAAGTTGTCGGAATCCTTGTTACGGTAATCCAATCGGAAGTTGTCGGATGTCGGATCCAACGCTTTCCGACGGTCGGATCCGATTGTTGGAAAATGCCGAATATAGTTAGAATCCGATGGAATCCTAGTGAATTCATATTTAAATAAAAATTAAATTTAATGAAAACCAAATTTATTAAAAATAAAAAACATAAAAATATAACAAATTAAAAAATATAAAAATAAAATAAGTAACAATACAATAACATTAAATACCCAGGTCAAGATGAACGGTTAAAGAATGCGTTCTAAACGGACGAACGTATGAAAACGCATTCTGAATGCGTTTCGAACGCGTTCTACATAGGTTGCTCGTTTCGCACGCGTTTATAAGCGTTCTCGTCTGCTTTGTAGAAGCTATGAGTAAATAAGAATGAAAAATGGCAGTTTTTCACTAAAATATAAAATAACTTTGTATTCTTA